CTCCATCTTGTTCACGTCTTCAATCCTTCATGTTCAATTATTTCATTCATGCCAGGTTATTAATATTAATTGACTCATTCCGTGATCTAGGGCATTCAGCGCGCGCAGATATTTTGAATTTGGGAGATCGGAAATCTACCAGTCGCAGGAAATTACAATGTTCAATTCCATTAATAACCTAAGGGGTGTTTACAGCTAGAGGTAGACACAAACTGCAGGACAGCACCTTGTCTTTGAGACATTCCTGATACTCCCTATCTCTCTCCCTCATGGCCATCTCCTTTTTTTCGTGTTCTCGTGTAGTCTTGCTATAATCCACAACTTTGCTCTCGGAAACCCATTCGGCACCAGACGGCTTCACCATCCTATTTTGTTCATAAGGAGGGCATAATTACCCATACTATGTGGACGACTTCAAATTTTATGCTGAAAAAGTCAAAGATCGGTCATGCCTGTGTTCCAAAAGGACATCTACGACTTGAGTGAGTTGCTCCGAAGAAGCAAAAAGCATAAGTCTGCTGTCATCCTCCGGGTCTTCAATCCAGCCAGCATGCTGGAGGAACATCCTTGCTGCTTGATATCTCCATAAAATTTCGTGAATTTTCTGGTTACTTTTTCTTAAGCGACGTAGTTTCTCCTCATCGGGTTGGTCTAAGGCATTCCTGTGCAGTTTTAGTAGCGTTTCAATTGCTGATCGGAAATCTTTGGTTGAACAAGAGTTTTTCAACGAAAGTATATCTGCCCTCAGTGAGGTCTCCATCCTAAGGCAGGAAATTCACACACGCGATTATCAACATCCTCTCAAAAACAGAACACAGGGAGGTTTTCTTTTTTCAATCTCAAGCGGAAGAACTACTTAGTTTGACAAAGTTATCCGTCAAAACGATGACATCCCAGAGAAGTACAGTCGACTCTGCATAATGGAATACCATTGCACGGTCCCGACATACGGTACGGTACAGAAGATAGTTTCGGTTATTGGAATACTCCGGATTATAAAATAAAATTCGCTGGTCCGTGAGTATTCCAATAAGCGGAGTCGACTGTATCTGCAGAAGCCCGCAGATGCGAACTCGATCTCGTTTCCAAATAAGGTCATCACTCGAGAACCAGAGCAAGACTCTTAGTATTTGCCCCACCAAACTAGGTGGGGCAAAAGTAACAATGGGGTAATCGTAACAATACTTCGTATTTCAGCAAGTACATTAGTAACAATTTCATTTTTGTCCATCACATGCCACACGTCATCCTTTGTCACGTATTTTGAACTTCTCTGTGATTGGCTAAGAATGTGTTTACTTCAAATTTGCTCGCCCCGGTAAAAAAAAAAATTAGAATCCAATTTTTCTCTCTTCTGTTGCAATTTCATCTTTCATCCCAACTAATGACGTTAAAAATGGTAAAAATGTTACATTTGCTGCCTGATCTTTATATCTACCTCATGATCTCGAAATTCGGACTTAGGCCTTATCACATCATTTTGTTGAGTCTAATGTTACTTTTGCTCCATGGACAGTTGGGGCATGGGGTAATTGGAACTATCTAGCGTGGGGCAAAAGTAACATCGCACCTACAATATTTTAAGTGATTCTAACTTTGGCACACGAGTCTGTTAAAAAAAAAAAAAGTATGCATGACAGCATTGTGCTTGGGGCTTCATCCAGGCTTCATATTGGTTCGCACCTACAAAAGGAAAACTGAGAGGGGTGCTGGGAAACGTTACTCCCATGGATATCTTGTAAGTGCTGTGAATCCCATTAAGAATCATACAATGAACAGAAAAATGACATCAAACAGGTGTGAAAGTAATGAATTCATTGGTGTACATCAAAAGCAAACAGGATTGCAGATTTCTGAGCTGGTTTCAAGGGAAAAAATTGAGGAGAAAGGAAATAAAGAAAAGTAAAAAGATTAGGCAAGTGGGGTGGATGAGACTTTTTGGTGGATGGAACTTTTACTTCCTATTTTTATTCTCAAAGGAAGTGAATTTCGGCAGGCTTAAAATTCAGCAAGGAATGACTGCAGCTGCTTCAGCATTATACGCTCCTGTTGCTACATTTTCACACCATATTAGCTGAAAATTTCATCGATTCATCCACATAATGTGAAGTGCATTTACAGTCGCCCCTTTGTTCCTCAGTGCCATTAGACAGCACTTGTGCAGCAATGCTACTTTTACCCCATTCATTCCACGGGGCAAAAGTAACATGAAACCATGGCTTTTAAAAGGGAGGTCTCTCGAGGATTCAATTCAGGTTCAAGTTCTGAAAGTCATTGGAATCTCTTGTTCATTGTTTGAAGAGGTTAGAAATCAACTTTTGTGACGAAATTTTTGCTAGTATTTTTTAAATCATCCTGCAATTGCAATCATGTGCTTTTCAGGTTACTTTTACCCACTTCACCCAACTTAAGTACAGAATAAATGCTACTTCTTTACTTGTGCCAGTGATCTCCCCCCCTCCAGACAAGTAAGACAGACTGCATTTATTTCTCTAAAGAATCATAACTTAGGTTTTGAGACTTTCATTCCAGCTGCAGTACACTCGAAGCCTAGTCGATCTGGGGCTCTCAAGTTCCAGTCTAGACTGGTTCAAATGGACACCACAGCAAGCAGAAGTACCTCTACCTCGACACCACCTCCAGACGCAAGCTGCTTACTTACTCTGTCCGTGTTCACGAGAAGCAGGAAGGTAATGAGAGAAAGCAATCCCGGTGGAGCCCAACACCTATCGTGAGAAGCCTGAAACCAACTTCCTGGGGCGCAATCACAGTGTACTGGACTACATGACTCACAAAAGCAAAACTTCAGGCCGAGTTTTCCATGAGGCTTAACCACCATACTCTAGCATTCACAATGGTTTCCCTCGAAGTACATGGTCGCATGCCTTTTTGAGGTCCACAAAGCAAACATAAACCTGTTTGATATAGAATCTGGAGCTGGTCCGTGGTGTGCGCCCTTCATGAAAGTCGCACTGCTCCTCTTCGATTGCTTAAGCTTTCTATTCCATCTTGGCAGAGACCTTACCTTAGCTGTGGAAAGCGATTTCACGGAAATCGGTAAACTCCATGGAGTTCCACTTTTTAAATAAGGAACTATCACACTTGTTTTGTCAGAAAATAAGTGCCGTCCCCAATTCCCATCCAGTATGACATACCCTTTGCTGATTGGATTTTATTCACACCAGGGGAAAGACTATACTTGTAGCTAATGGTAACAGAAAGCACTTTCCCGAGTGATCGTTCTCTCTATGCAGAAGAGCTTCACATCAGTACACCAGAGTTCGCAGTGGACGGGTTCAAGTTCTTCAGTGTTCCTTCTACCTTCTGAGTATTTTCCTGACAGCCAGCACCTCCCCGTTTAGGTCTTTCAGAAACCACAGAGTACAGTCTGCCTTGAGGAAACCTTCTGATGGATTGCCAGAATACTCTGGTATCAGTGGTTGGATTCCATTCGCTCGCTGAACTTCTGTGGTGGTAATGATCAGTTCATTGCCAGCACAAAAATCCAACTTTCTGGCATTCCAATACAGTATGGCTTCTCCAAACCTATCAACCACATCACTCCTGTCGCTTCGTCTTTCCAACTGGCATATGCAATTTCATGAGCAAAACATGATCTTTTTTTTTTTTTTTTAGATCATTGCAGAACTCAATTTCCTTCGAAAAACGCATCGTAGCCCGACTTGGTATTAAGCCCATTGGCCAGACCGGCAGCCAAGACCCCGACTCTACTTCCCCGAGTTGGGGCGAATCAGTACAAGTTCGCTGACCGGTTCCCAATCAAGCCGTAAACCAGCCAGGGGTGATGAGTATCATCACTTCTGCCTGAGCAACATTGGTTGGTCGACTTCAGTCTATGAGAGTTCCCTCGTGCTCTAGCTAGGGTGATGGAACAAGTGCCTTCCCGCTTGGTTAATGGCCAAACTGACTAGGTAAGAGATACAAATTCTGACCCCCCCCCCAGCTTAAAATCCGCCCCCTCGCCTACGTTCTGAATTTGATGGTTTTGGGATCTATACCGTTCGAGAGGAAAATGGACACACTGTCCATACACGTTTTTAGACCGGACATTGGAGCTATTTAGTTGAAAAGGATGTTTGGATTTCCCATTACATTTAATTATTCAACGCGGAGGCGGACTTTATAGCAGGACCGGAATTTGTCTCACCTACTCTATCAGCTCACTAGCCTCATCTACGAGTTCTGGTTCCTTACCGACTAGTGTCGGCAAAAGTCCCAATAAATTAATAGGGCAGAAGCAAATAATTCTCTCATTAAACCATTCCAAATAGAGTTTAAAAGTGTCCTGAAGTACGCGAGCAATAGGGACCAAGTACCAAGGAGTTAAGCATCATGCCAAGGGTACTACGTAGCTGGAGGCGAGCCGACCAATAAGCTAGGATGTTGCTTATTGACGGCGTCAGACGCCCCCAGAAATACCGGATTGCCTGACTCCAGTCGTTAACATACTAATTATCCCGAATCAATCCAGTATGAATCGCCTGAAACGAACTCGTCGTACTTTTTGGTTAGCCCTCAAGCGCAGTCCCTGTATCATGGTGAAGTCTGGGACACTACGGTCTCCCGAAGAACTGAGTGACCCGTCGCGACCCAGAATCGATTCTCCCGCCTTCTGAGTTCGAGTTGGAAGGTCGAATCACTTTGCAACCGAAAGCTGTGTCCACATACAGTCTTCAGCGATGTTTGCGCCAACTTTCGTCGCAAAACTTGCCTTAAACAGTTTTAATAACAGCAAACACTACCATAAGAAATGCTTTTACCACTAGTTCTAGTTTCATCAGAGAATTTTTTAAAATGAACCTTTCGTTTGTCCAGTTCCAGTACTAGACCTGACACAATGACAAATGTAATCAGGGAATTCTTAATATATTTTGTGATGATTTCGCAAATGTGGTTCCATCCATCTAAAAGGTAGAAACCAATCTTCCCATATCGCTTTGATAGAGTGAGGGAATAACAACCAGAGCACATGAGAGTTGGATCAAATCATTCAGAAATTCAATCATTTTACTTAAGCCCATGGCATTTCATGCTCATACAATTAATGCCCAATCACGTCAAGAAAAAAAAAGTAAAACAAATCTTTAAAAAACATTGGGATGTATAGGGAAAAATAAACAGCAACTCTCAATAAAGAGCAAAACTCACAGTATTGCAAGACTAGGATGCACAGCCACAATGGGGAGATTTCTTTCCCAATCCTACAGATTTGAACATCCATAGGAGTGGTGCTCATAAGATTCATGGTCAGGGCCAATGAATAACAAAAATGGGAATGTAAAAACGTCATGTTTCAAAAAACCCAGCTCCTAATAGGAGATTTCGTCTTGTGAAGTGCAGTTCTAGCACTGAGGTGCTTTTTGTAGGATAAGATCCCAGCAGAAGAGCAGATGTATTGCTCTTGATCTCTGGATTGTGTGTCACATTCACATCTTCCAGAGATACTTCTTCTGTGAGCCTGGCGAAGTCCCATAACTTCACCTGAAAATCTATTCCACCTGAAAAGAAAATGAAAAGATGATCACAAACCACAACTTCCTGTTTTGAAGTGATCATCCCTCAGAGGGCAAGAATAATGCAGGTATGTTATAATTTGTGCTCACCAGATGCAAGGATATGTCCATCTCGACTAAATGCCAGTGAATATAAGGTTCCTGTATGACCAGCCAGCTCAGCCAAAAGATGTCCATGAGCAATATCCCAGATGAGAATGGATAAATCCATTCCTCCAGAGGCAAGAAATCTCCCATCAACAGAAAATGCTAAGCAATGGACTGGTCCCTACAATCGCACCAATGAATAAAGAGTGATTTAAAATCCTGAATAGATGTGGAATGGAGGCAAAGGAAACACTTTATACCTTATGACCTGTCATGATACGAACACATGAACCGGTGACACAATCCCATAAACGAAGGCACCGATCACTGGAACCAGTTGCCAAGTAGTTGGAGTTGGGATGAAATTCCAACACCTTAAGAAATGGAGGAAGAAATGTTTTAGAATTGTATGGGAAGTTTGAGATTTTTTTGCTATATTGGATGAATTTAAAAAATCCATTGTACAGGTTCTGCCATATGTCACAGACACACTTAATATGCTGACAACTTTATTTAAAAATGCTTCAATCATATGCTGTCAACTACAAAAAGTAGTTAATGTTGTTAAGTTTCCTTTACACTCTATTTTTACATTCTAGCTTTTTAACATTTTTTTTTCAGCACATGTTTAATGTGGGCTCCTTGTTGACTTGTGCACTTTTATGCAGACAACAAAGTTGGGGCAGATGTCTTGAGGGATTCCACAAATTCTTAAAGATGTCTGCAGTCTTCTTCAATATTTCTTTTCTGTTCAGGGATGTCCCTTTGTTTGTTGACAAACACAATCTTTAGTGCAGCCCCACATAAAGAAAGTAAGTGGGGACCAATTGGGAGAATCTGGAGCACAGTTTCACTCTGTCTTGAATGAAATGATGTAGCTTTTGGAATATGAAAATGTTCAGCAAGATTCAAGATATTGCTTGTGCAGGTGCTGTGCGAATGTTAAAAAAGATGGAAATAACCCCTTTGAGTTTGTGTTGCAGACTTTGTCTCTTAGAATAGCTTCACTTGCATTTTTTGCTCTGTTGTTAACATATTTGTGCTACAATTCTGAAATTGTCACTGGATGAACTCCAAATTATTAGCTGCAATCACCTGGAGAAAAAAATTAAAAGCATTTCAAAAATCAGCCTAGAAAACATATTTGAATGTGTCAGTGACTTTTGATGGACCCTATAGAAAATGTTAAGGTTTCATGAGTGAGTGATTAAATGAGCAAAACTTTTACATAATCATTAATGTAGATTCAAAATATGGCAAAACCTTTCTTTTTTGGTCTATCAGCTAGAACTTAATTGATTAATAAAACACTACTTGATCACTGCCAAAAAAAAAATTGATGACTCGTCTTCCTTTATATTTCTGTAAGAAATAAGACTGGGCATAAGTTAACCCAAATTTATTTTGGATATAAGTTTGAGGGTTCAATTGGAGATTCCATTCTAACTCAGACATTAGCTGTTTTGCACTCCAAAAATGAGGAATAATTCTGAGATTTGATGGTGAGAATTGGAACAATAACAAAAAATTCATATAATACATGAGGTTAAGGACTCCAGACCTGTTAATTAAGCCTGGGATTTGCCCATCCTTGCCTTGCTCAAATATGGTGACTAAATGATACAGGCCCATGTAAAAGTTCCAAAACTTACATCAATGTCAGCCAAGTGACCTCCAAATATCCTCAGGGGTTGATGATGGTCTGTTGCCCAAAGGCAAGCAGTTTTGTCATGACTGGCTGTTGCAAAATAATATCCATGTGGACAGAATTTCACATCCCAAACGGGGAAAATGTGACCCTTATATACAACGAGGCAAGACCACATCAGAAGGCTCCATAATCGAACTGTAATACAGTGAAGGGAAAATAAGTTCATGAAATAATATTAAGGACCACTTGATTGCAGAATATAGGGGCAAAAAAACTGTCATCTTCTAACCCTTACACCTGTACAAATACAGGATGACCGAGAATCATCATATCTGATTTCAAATCAAAATATCTCAATGGGAAAATATAGAAACATGGGGTTTACACTAAAGTAAAGGTCAGAGTTGCAGATTTACTCACCCTGCACTCCTTAGGTTGTTAGTTTCCACTGTGTGTCCCAAAGCAGTCATAATGGTGTCTGTGTGGCAAAAGGCTAAATGTGTGAAATAGTTAGTGAAATTTCAATATTTCCCTGGTGTACAGCATGAATTTTGATGTAAAGGTGACTCATTAGTAAGTTTACCCAATTACTTAACCCTTTGCTATTTGGGAAGTTCATGAACAATTTCAGAAGTAAAAAAATACAACCATCAAGAAGGTCTAAAAAGAATATTTGGTAACAAACAATAAACCCAGGTTACGAAAAAAATTAGAGTAGCTGAAAGTCCTTTGGGAAACTTACTTATGGGCCACCTTGTATCCATCATACAGAACCTCCTCACAAGGACGCCATTCACCAGACACTCTCACAAAGATGGCACATACCCATATGGCAAGTGGCACTTAAGTTACAACTTCATAAATTCACAGTACATAACATGCTTTACAAACAATTACAATTATGAGCATACCATATTCAACTTTGGACTTTGTGAAAATACTTTGTGCATGTGTTGCACTGTTTTCTTCTGTTTGCCAGGAGATGCTGTTAGTTTCAAGCTTCAACTCACTTCAAATTGTTTGCATGATTTTCAAATGGTAGTCCTTGTGAGGAGGTTCTGTGTCATATATATGTCTAAATTCATGCTGGACACAAGAAACAGATTGTAATTGCACTAATCATATCATGCACCTACCCTTTTGCTGCAATATTATTATAAGAGCTTTAAAAGCAACACAGTGGAAACTGGTTTACAGTGCCTCACAGTGGGAAACTAACGAATTGCTAAGGAAATTGTGCAGGGTAAGTAAATTCTCAACTCTAGCCTTCACTTTAGTGCTAACCACATGTTTCTAAGTTTTGCCATTGAGGAAATATTTCAATTTGAGACCAATGTAATCATTCTCAGACACCCTGTATATATGGTCAGATATACAGGGTGTCCCACAAGTTACTATACCATCAAAAAATCATATCTACTAAACAGTTTATACAAAAAAGAAGTAACATTAACTGAATGATAGCATGCCATTTGAAATGATATTTGTCAAAAATGTAGGAATTTCTAAGTTTTGAAAGTGCCTCAAAATCCCCTTTGGCGACATCAATACATTTAGCATAAGGCTTGGGCAAAATAAAGTTGCCAGAACACCTCCTTTAACTCTAATGGAACTCTCAAAGACCTTCACCCAGGTTACAACTTTTCCTTGTTGCTGCAGTGTCAATTGCAAAGCCTTTTCTCTTGACAGCTAAATAAATTTAAATGAAATACTTTTTTTCCCTGTTTCTTAAGCCTTCCTGAAGTCAGAAAGCGAGAAAAACAAAGTTTAGCAAATTGTAGAAGAGGATTCAACTAAATGTAACAAAAATGTCCCTAAACAAGTATACCTTTCCAATATGCACTTGAAGCTAGTTCTGTTTGAGTGTGATTCAAAGTCATTATCATGAAAAATTTATTTAAAGAACATTCTTTCAACCAATGCTAACAACGTTGACTTCCTTGTTGCAGTTTGAAATGGTATAGTGACATATGGGACAGCCCACATATATAGGACGATTCAAAATAAACACTCCACCATTTTCTATGGGAGAAAGTAAGATTCGTGTATTCGAGGAAAAATTATACAATTCATAAACTCCTGATATTGGACATATACAAGGTATTCAGAAGATGGTCTGGGTTTTCCTCAGAATAATTCTTTGAGCTATGCATTGTCCCATTACAAAGTTTACAGGTGGATCATTACACCTCAAATGCAGTAAAGGTTTATGTGCCATTGTCTCAAAATTCAAATAGAGTAGTTTGTCCTGTTTGGGCCTTAAACCGATTTTGACTAAATTCATATTTTTTGAATTGACTTCAAGACCAAATCTTTTGAAAGCACTCTCAGATAAAACTGATATTTTTTGGCAGAGAGGTGCATGCAAAGTTCAAAAGCTCAAAGTTTTTCTATCTAAAAAGTCACATAGCATGAAGATACGAGGTCCTCTGGTCAGCAACAATGCCCTCTATTGGCATACAGTGCCATCTTGCAGATGTGAAAAAACCTCTTACACTCATGAACCTCTCTGTCAAGTATCAGCTGCATCCAACTGTCTCTTGAGAAGTCATAGCCAATCAAAATAGGTTGGTGAAATTATAATCACTGTGTATTCAGGAATTTAGCATCTGGGGGTTGGGGGTCATTTTGTGCTACCATGATCAAATTAAAACTCCTTTTTCTTGGCCTCTGCTCAAAGTACAGACAAATGTTTTGTTTTTCTGAAGGCTATTCTCAAAATAATCAGACCGCTTGCCAAATTTAGTTGAATTCTGAGACAGTCGACCACTGATCATTACCTCACTTGAGATGGAATGATCCACCTCTAAGCACCTTTAATTCACCTCTAAATGGGCATTGCATGACTTGGGGAGGGGTACTGAAAACAAGCTGACATGCATCTCAACATCTTGTAACCATCCAATACCATTGCACAGCCAATGTAAATGTTTTTTTTTTCACTTATGAAACTTTGTTTCTCCCATAGAAGAGCATAAAAAAACAAACATATATCGTAAGAAAATAAAATTTCATGAAATATGAGCAATAAACTCAGCATTGGGACATTAATACATCTAATGAATACTTAGCAGTTGAAGGGCTAATTAAAAAATTCCATTGCTTACTTGATGAATCTTCTGAGCAAGACAAAAGGAAGCTCCGATCAGGGCTGAAGGTCACACCAAAGACTGCCCCTGAATGTCCAGTCAGAGTGCGACATGTCTCTCCAGAGCTTTCATCCAGCATTCGAGCATAAACATCATCTGAATCAGAAAGAATATGTAGTCTATGATCTTAGCAGTGCCCCCCCCCCCCCTTCTTTAAAGGAGATAAAAGGGAGGCCAGACTTCTGCATCTCACAGAAAGCTCAATAACCCACCAGCATCCTTGTCAATCTGACTCAATTCTTGAGCTGACTTCATGGCACGCAGTTTTTGAGGCATGAGGCTGAAGACTTTTATGTTGGAATCAGCAAATCCCACAGCAAGTGTAGATGAATCTTCACATATTTTAATGCAAGTGACATGGCTCCTGTTCAAACAATGAGAGAGAATGATTCCTGCGGATTCACCTCAGTCATATTACTGCATCACAAATAAGGCTGAATGATGGCATTAATGTCAGACCTGGTCATGTAGAACTTGCAGAAACAGAAGAACCCCATGAAATTTAACTAATAATTCCCTGCTCCTATTGTGGCTATTTTCATGACACTTTCACTAAGATTGATGCCCCAACAGCTACCAGGAATTCATACAAAATTCAGAGTGACAATTCAAAAGAAATTGAAAACTGAAAAGGGGTGAGAGACTCCTGCCACTTTGGAGTGACTAGATCACATCTGCCTCCTCTTCCTAAAATAAAGGAACAAAATATCTGAAGAAATGTTTAGAAAATTCTATGTTTTGATATTGTTGATTGGAAAACAGGCTAATCAAACTTATTTGCCACAGTCAGCCCAAAGAATATTAATGAAAGAAATGTTTGAAGCCTGTAAGACATGCTAATTACTAGCATGGGCCATTTTGTATGTCCAATCTCTTCAGAATAATTATTCATGGTTTTGTCGTAGTATAATGAATTTGAATTAATATTAAAATTGAAACATTTAATGGTAATTTATCAACATATAATCATCTAATTCAATTAAATGAAAGCTGTAATAAAAGCAGAGATTTCTAGGTGAATAGTTTGGTGGCATTTTATTTTCATTTACTATATAAATTCGGATACATAATGTAATATATACTAAATTTCTCAATTTCGGGTAGTTTGGAACTGAAAGTGACATGAAATCTGGTAAACCATCTACATAGAGAGGTCTTCATCCAATAATAGACAGAAAATGGCTGAGGATGAAACAGAAACATCCTACAACCAAACCTTTGAGAAGAGTTTAGGAAGGTGTAGTAACATATGGAAGGGAGATTCTCTGGCCCAAGTGTTACTCTTTTCATGGATTCTCGGAGGGCGCGCACTTTCTCCAGCTTGTCAATATCTCTCCTATGAAGCAAAGCACAGTAGATACACAGTGAATGAAGTTAATTGTCTTAGCAATTGATATAGTTCACTTTACAATTCAAAGCAAGCAGGCATCAGTACTTGTATCCAGTGGTTTCAACATGAAAGAGGGGTGGGAACTCACAGATCAGGTAGAGGAAGGCGATTATTTGGGGGTGCATTTGGATCATTTTTCATTTTGCGAGAGAGCAAGGGATCTTTTTTCCCCTTTTTTTTCTTCATCTTCTCTTCCCCACCTCCTCCAGGTCCACCACCTTCATCATCTTCTTCCAATGGGATCTGGAGATCAGGCTCCTTCAGCAAACCATACAATATCTTGGCCTTGTTAGCTGCCAAGAGGAAAGAAATTCATAAGTTAGCTTCTTTTTTTAATTTTCTGCTATGCACAGACTATCAACAAAAAGGCAAATTTGGTGAACCTTCATGGATGGCTTCTCCTGTCATAGCACCTGCAGTGGCATCAATCTGTGTCTTGTTACGTGGGACACCCTCATAAACATCCAGGTATATATGCTCTTGCACAATGTTGAGCAAAAGACTGTGACGTTTGTCATCTAAGAACTTCTTCAGCAGGTTGTATGATTCTCTGGACATGCGCACGTTGAACTGGCTGGACCTGGATCGCAGGTAAAATAGAATTCAATATAAGACCAAGTTCCACACATTCCATTGTCACTTTCCCTCAGCTGAGATGTGGGGAAGCTCACTTGAACCCATCCAAGATTGAATTGCGCCTCAGATGTTCCCGAAGAGTGACAGATGCTAACTGAGCAACATCTTGCTTGTAATAATCTTCTTGCTGATTTCCAAAATTTGCCATGAATTCACTGGCCTCTTTCTCATGCCCATTGTACACAAGTTCCAGGTACATGTGAGCAAAAGCTGGATACAAGATCATGGACAGCTCATGCTAGAAACAAAATGCATGGTCATGAAAGAAAGTGAGTAGACTTCACTACAGTTTCACAACCAAAGGCTCCACTTCAGCCAATGAAAAGTCAAATAAGATGACAAATGCTGAGAGAGACAGGAAATGTATTACAAGGAATTACTTTCCTCACCTTGTAAACATCTAGGGCACTCTCAACAAACTTCTTCAGCTGCACATAGGTGTCTGCATAGGAAGCAGGGTCATTTTCTGTCTTGTAAGCTGACCAGACACTCGTTGCACCAGTTCCATCTCTATCATCTAGGTGTTCATCAAAGAATCCAGCTTCTTTCCGTAGAGCATCTTCAGCATGCTAATGGAATAACCACAGAATAATGCTTAAAACTTACATTTGCATATACAGGGTGTCCATAAAAGAATGCAAGTTTCAAAAATTAAAAACTCGGTAAGTAATGGATGAAACGTAGTGATCTTTGCATCGAAATGAAGGGGATGACTGGGAGTTCATTTATATCCCATTATAGATGTCGCTGGCAGCTCGAAATGTGCATGCAAAGGAATTTCCTAACTGGTGCCTATTTTGGCGTGCGCCTCACCCCCATCAGTACAATGGCAACCGTTCAGCAGACGTAGAAGCAGCACTGTTCTCCAGATGTGTACAGCACTCCCTGAATGAGAGCTTTCCAAATCGGTGGATTGGACAAGGTGGACCAATCGCCTGGAATCCAAGAAGTTCAGGTTTAACTCTGCTGGATTTTTTCTTTTGGGGATATGTGTAAAACATCATCTACGCAAAAAAAATCTGCAACCTGGACCATTTGCGAGAGAGAATCGTAGCAGCAATAGCAACCATCACACCAGAAATGCTTGACAGGACATGGGGAGAGGTAGAGCATCACTTTGATGTCTGTCGAGCTGTGAATGGTGCTCGCATCAATACCTATTTAAGTTTGTAAATAAACTCCCAGTCTTCCCCTTCATTATGATGCAAAAATTACGGCATTTCATCCATTATTTACTGAGTTATTAACGACTGAAACTGTTGCATTCTTTTATGGACACCCTGTACTTTTTCTTGAGTTTGGCTCATAGTGACATGAACTTTGTTACTGATTTCAAGGATGTGGAATTAATGCCATGTTTTGCAGCAAAATATTTTATTTCTCATAGGTTATCACACACCAGCCAATATATAATAAGAAGATATGGATCACTGGGGCCCAGACTCAGGAGGAGGAGGGGGGTCATCATCCAATAAGATTGAACAAATGATTGAAGATATAACTAACAGGACTTGTTACTTGGCACTACCTTCACCTTCTTCCATTACCCAGCACTTCTGTCACTGGGGAACCATGCCAAGTTATCATGGGGGTTACAAAAAATGGACTCAATTACTTCACTAAAATATTATAAGCTCATAACTTCCTGTCCAAAAATGACAAATGATGGAAAATTTTAGAGGCATGAGATTATGGCATTAGGGATGCTTTTACCTCATCTGATCTTGTCTGATTAATCAGTTTTTAAATCTCTAGATGCCTCATAGGAACTCTTATTAAAGAGAGAACTCATCATGCAGTCTAGATAAGGGAGATTTTGGGATCTAGTTATGAGTAAATAAAATCTTTCATATATTTTTTAGTAAACTAACCAAACTGGGAATCCTAGAAGCCACTGAGATAACTCATCAATATATCATGAAAGCCTCAAGTTTCAATAATGAACCTAATGCTTCAAGGTTAGCATTTAAATACATTGGTATTCATAGACATAAAATTAAAACTGTAAGTTTTGCAGGAATAGGCTTACTCTTAGCTCAAGATATTTCTAAATCCTGAGCTTCTCTCTGGGGTACCCAAGAAGCCTTCATCATGTCAGTCTGAGATTCTTAAATTCATTATTTCCTTAACCTTTATCAGATGAATGACAATTGCTGTGCCACAGAATGTATTTTTCCACGGTCTAAAGTTACAAATATGAAGTTAAAGTTACTATACTGCAACTTTTTTGGAAAATGCTCTGATATTGGGTGAATAATTGCTTCAGTCAACAGTTTATTTTTAGAACAGTTGCACTACTCAGCTAGCGAATGTTTATAAGCTTTGTAGAAAAAAATCTGGCTGCCACTGCTTATATGGGAGATTCTAATCCATCCAATAGAGGTTACAATTATTTTTACTTCAAATATGATATCAGGAATAAATTATGAAGGCATTGCATTTATTTTTTCAATATGAGTTTCTTGGCACATTTGATACTTTATTTTAATATTAATTTTAATTGTATGTAATTGCATCTTTGGTAAAACTCATTATATAGTCCTCCTTGACATTTGATGGTATGACATAGACCAACTGATTCCTGACCGGGATTGCTTCTTTGTGTCTTGCAAATGAAGTTTCACAGAGAGACTGCTTTGTGCAATATCATCTCATTAAAATTATAGCTCAACAAAACATCAACTTGAACACTCAGCTTTACAATAATTATCATATAAGAAAGGCAAATGCTTACAGAAATTATATGCAGGATGAAGTCAGTCAACAATGATTTTGAATTCAAACATTGTGCTTAAGTGAGGCTTAAAATGCACCATCCACCTTCTCTATGTTCTGGTTTTTATAACACAATACACCAGGTCTTCATCAACCTGATAATGTCAATCCAGGGCATCACACCAGAAAATATTGTCTCAAATCAGTTCCTTTTCACCCTGTATAAAATTTTTCTGGTAACATTCCCATTCAGATAACATCAAACCAGTTTAAATCACTTTTTCTTAAATCATGGTTAAGAAGCTTTAAATTGAGCAAGATCTCTAGAGCAGAATTGTGCATGCTTAGCATGCAAGTCAGATTGCTACACTTCTGTTGGACCTGAATCATGCATAACCTTTTGCATTTTATTTTTCAGATTCAGCAATTGGAATAGTTAATTAAATGCCTTTTCAAAACCTGTGCCAATTCTGCTTCTAGTTTACGTGTTAGCTATTTCTCTTGGCTAAGATAATACAAGTTTTAGGAAAAGGGTGTATATTTAGGATATTTTGGTTCAAGCTCAGCAAAGGTTAGAAGCCTTTCTTTCATTCCATTCCAGGGTCAAGGAGCACTAAGATTCCAAATTACACTGCAGAAATAAAAGTGCATTCAAATAATACTGTACCTACTTGCAGATTGTTTTTGCGTAAGAAGTGAAGGACTGCAATGAGGGCACTTCGGTCAGAGACTGGAGTGGGCATGCAGGAGTTTCCTCCCTCCATGGCTCCTGGTCCTCCTCCACCAATATTTTGCCCATGCTCTGAACCTAATAGCAAGTTGCTACCAATATCACTGGTCATTCCACCTGAGGAAGAAGGGCATCAAGGTTCTTGAAATGGAATGAATTCCATTAACCTGGCATACCTTTCTCAGAAATATGGAATATGCTGTATGAATGACCATGCTAAAGTGACTTTCCAGGAAAAATTCTAGACTTTCTATCATGCCTGAATGTCAAAGTGGACATCTGATCTCCAGCTAAAGCAGAGACAGTGGCAAGGGCTACTTGCATTTGATTGACCATATGCAAAAGAATTCCACCTGTAGAAGTTGACTTCTTTTATTCCTTTAAATAACCATCTCTCTTGACAAGTAAACTGGTGCTGTATGGGGCACAAGATATACAACCAGGAAAAAAAGGGGGGAAAATGGTGCATTACAAAAAAAAAGCAGAGAAGGATCAGAGACATGATCACCTGCCTCTGTAAGCCTTATAGCTGACCTCTGACCCCTCTTGCAGACATTTGTGGTCTCATTCACACATGAAAACTGAATTTCTCTATGACAATCAAGATAAAGATGTGTAATCCTATGCAACCTTTCATTTTCTTCACACTTTCAACCTTCATGGTCACTGTCTAAAAGGTATAAAGCCTATGCATGATAAGATCCCCAGTATGAATGATTCAAAAACTCAAGGCCGCCAATCCATAAATTTGACATGAGAATCAATCAAACCATGATAGTGCATACACAAGTATGATTGGATTGGATCCATCACAGTGCCACGTTGAGACAATGATAGAGGGGAATACAGGATAGGTACTGTAAGAAATGAGGGGAGGGATAGGGTGAATGAAAAGTAAACAGGCTTATGGGAAAGACTGGGAGACAGAGGACAATGGACATCACGGAGAAGGGAGCATAATATAAGCAGACACATGTGATGCATTGAGAAGACTCATTCATTGGTCATGGGAGAATCCCTTCATGTGACCAGCAAAGGGAGGGGAATGTTGTCTGCATCCAAGCAAAGTAGTATATGAAGTGGAGATGATCAAGATGAAAATGATAATGGAATGCTGGGAAGAGTGATACCAGGGAAAGAGCCCTTTCCTGTTTCTTCCTCCCTCTCGTTCCTTCATGTCTTCACCCTCTCTCTCTCTCTACCTTTCTCAACAACCAATGCACTATTCACCATACACTAGTTCATTACCTGTATCATTCCTGTAGACAAAGAAAAGATATGCAGCACCATCAGCAAAAGATAAGTATGCTGAAAACTTCACAACATAAAGACATCTGTCTCAAACCAGAGCTTGACTTAATGCCTCATATAAGTTCCTGTCTTGGTGCTCCATACAGAAGAGAACACTGGATAGCCAGCATTTCCATTAGACCTTCAGAATGACACCTTGCAAACTAAGGCTTCAGCTTGAAGGCATGACAGTAGACAAGGATTTTTGGGCTTAGCTGTCATAAGTCACACAGTCCACTGTCCACATTGCACTCAGCCACACAGTCACAGCCTGCAGATGCTCATTCTCTCTATTCTTTCATCTTGAAGGATAGGGAAGATGAAGAGAGAAGGAGAGAGACAGAGAGAGAATCAGGTGAAGGATCGATGCTGTTAAGCGTAACACACTGTTTTCATCACTTGCAACACGAGCCACCTGCTGCAGAGGGGTTCCCTCCACCATCTCCATCATTATATATATTGATATTTGGCTTCCCTTTTCCAGCTCCAACCCCAAGACCACCTCCTTCTGTCTTGGGCAACTTCTTGGCTTCAGTAGTAAGGGAAAAATGTAATTAAAATGACTAAAAAAACTTTAAAATATCAAACCGTAAATCTGTTGTCATGTCATCTTACCGATGGCAAGGAAAATATCATTGACATTCATGGCAGTTTTTGCAGATGTTTCCATGAAAAGGAGTCCATTCTCCTCAGCATAGGTCTTGGCCTCATCTAGTTCAACCATCCTCTTGTTACTGAGGTCAGCCTTATTGCCAGCAAGAGCAATCACGATGTTTGGTGATGCTTGCCGTTGCAACTCCTTGACCCATGTCTTTGCTCTACCAAATGTATCCTGGAGAAAAGCAGTGTATATATATACACATATTAAAGAAAAAGTACCAAAGGAAGTGATGAATAATACCTGGTTGGTGATATCGTATACAACAATTGCTGCCTGAGCACCTCGGTAATACATGGGGGCCAAACTGTGATACCTCTCCTGGCCAGCTGTATCCCATATTTCAAACTTCACTGTTGTGTCATCCAGACACACTGTCTGTGTCAAGAATGCAGCTAAAAAGTAAAAAATAACATCAAAGATAACAAATCAAATACCTGATCTGATTAAATCTGCTATCAGGCATGACATATGCCCCAACACACATAAAAGACATACAGAAGTCATATAAGTATCTTATATGCTGCTCCACATTTTTTCCCCACATAAAATGCCTTTCAATAAGCTTATGAGACCCTGTCATATATGCCTATTTCTCATAAAAACCATACAATATATTTCTGTATGGGAGTGCTGGAGGTCATATCCAATATGGGCTTTGAACTAATGCATAGTGAAAGTAGCCATTATTAAATATATACTACTTTCATGATAATTTTCTCACTGCTTGGAGCACTAATCAAAAAGGAAATCCTTAGCTGTACTACTTGCTTTTTACAAGTACCACTTTGGATGATTTCTAGCAATTGTTCATAAGCTCAATTTCCACAATGCCTTCTTGTTAAGTCCCAGAGAAGAAAATACTATTCCAAGCTTTGAAATCAGAAGAGGGGAGTCAGCATTAGTAAATTATGATACACTTTGAATGCATATAATTTTTTCCCTTGACTTGAATGCCTAGGCTTAATAGTGCTGGATTACCTGGGTGTCAAAAGCTAAGTGATAAAAACTAAAAGACCAAAAGGCAAGACCTAGATCCTTGACTTCTCCAACATAAAATAATTTATCTAGTAGTATCTACCAAGCTAGAGTGCAAAATACTTATGAGGGATGTCCAAAAAGTCTTTGGACTTTTTTAATAACAGCAATATGAAAGAGTTATTGCCAAGCAGGGGATATTGCACAATTTCACAGTAACCACCACTTGAAACACACTCTTGCACAAAAATGTTCAAGAAGATTGTTTAGTCCCTATTTGAACCATGTTTTTGGGGTAGACTGAAACCACTGTCACACTGCTAAATCAAGAGTCTACAGATTTGAACACCTTTGTCCTCTGAGGAGCTTCTTCATGGCACTGAAGAGCCAGTATTTGCTTTGTGCCTGATCTGGTGAGTATGGAGGGTGTCGTAGCACCTCAAAACCCAGATCAGCTATAGCATTCTGTTTGCAGAGTGGTATGCGATTTTGCATCGTCATGCTTGACAACATTGCCCTTGCATGTCACATTCCATAGTTAATATTCAGAATTAGGTGTATGGACAGAATGGTACTGCTGACATTATCACAGCTCAGAATGATTCATTGTGCTCATGATGGCTGTTAGCCAGCACATTTAAAAGCATGTCAGGCTAGGCCCAGGGGCAGAAACTGAATAAGTAAAAAGAAAAACTTTTTGAATGCCCCTTGTATGAATATTTCAAGGAGTTGATGTTACTGGAGGAACAAACAGCTTAGTATGTCATTTTTCCACCAAGGAAATTAGTGACTTCATAAATATTTATAAGTTTAACCCTTTCATTGGCCATTTTTTCTGGGAAAGTTGACATCTTCCTGCATTCTTTTCTATCAAATAAATTACACTGAATTTCAAGAAAAAGATTGATAACTTTCACCAGTCACAAATCAGATGCAAGTTAGGTAGGGAATAAGATTCCCTATCAGTATCAATGGGAAGTGGGATTCCCAACACACTAAGAATTTGTTTGGTGGAAAGTACGATTCCCATGGTCTACAAAAGGGTTGGTACTGTTGTCCCCAAGTCCCTGGGAGCATTCTGGATATAATGGTTTCATATGACTGTTATAAAGTTCTCGCCAATAATCAATTCAATAATGAAAATGGCTTTGCAAGACTCATGCATGGCACTTCATGTGCATAAAGTCTCATTGATAACAACAGCATGATAAACCATTTCCAATACTTACCACCAATAGTGCTCTCTTGATACTCATGAAATTGACCCTTAACAAATCGCAAGACTAGAGATGACTTCCCAACAGCAGATTCTCCAAGAAGAACCAGTTTGAACTGGCAAATCTTCCCTTGGGGAGTTCCATTGGGCTTCTGAGCAGGTCCAGCACGCGATGCCATTGATACAATGGGTCACTGTTGCACTCTCTGTATGAGAAAATATAAAAAATTTAAAGTAATACATGAAATTTTGACTCCTACACAAAAGTCACCTGCATGAAGCACTAACAAAGCATGAAGATCTATTATGAAAAGTTGCCTAGGCTACAATATAGCAACACTAACAAGCAATGTGACTCACTTTACTTATGGACTTCATATTGGTCCTAGTAGTCTGATTTCTGATACTACCCCAAAAAGGAAAGGAAGTATATACAGCAAAAAGATTTTCCAAATCAGATTATATGAACCTTGGCTTAGATTACTTTTCTAAATAGGTTAATGGGAAATTAATAGTCTAGAAATTAACAAATGCAATTTTTCAGCCACAGCATAACTGTTACCTAACAATGTAAAAAAAAATTTGACAAGAGATAGGCCAAAATTTTCACAGGCACATTAAAAAGTGAGTTATTGCTCACTTTTAATGTGCCTGTGAAATGTGTGTTCAAATGAAGGAAGCTAAAAGTTCTAGCAGACCTCCACCTCATCCTGAAAATGAGAAAGTCATGCAGGAGACATTCATCATAGTAAAAGCATATTAGGTCATGATGCAAGCACAGCTGCAGGTGGAGAGACCTCATCATCTATTTAAAAAAAAATGGCAGTGAACATTGGTGGCACTTAAATGCCTAGACACACTATAGATGCCTCCTAATTATCTACATTTTCTGAGATATACTTAAAGTTCAATCTGCTCTTCACTTCAGTCCAGAGATGAAGTATAAGTTGAGGATTCATGTACCTGCAATGCTTACAATGACCTGCAAAGGATAAGTATCACCAACTGCATAATAGTAGCATTAAAAAAATTATACAAATGGAACAAATCAGAAAATGCAAACAATGTAACTGATGCCTTGGAAAAGCTTTATAATAATTTCTACAATAATGCAAAGATTTTCAAAAGAAAGAATGCCAAGCCTGGGAAAAAATATTGACAACTAAAATAAGGAAACCATAAGTAACCCAATATTTTACAGTCATATAACACCAGGATGAAATGTCAAAAACCAGTAATACAAGAAGTAAAGATAAATAATATGCTGACAAATGAAGAGAGCTGGAAATTAATAATTCCTCCAATTAAATTAAACTAGTACAAAGGAAATAGAAAACCAAGCAATTGATGGAAATTTCAAACAAAGGAAGAGATATAAATAAGTTACAACAAGGAGGTTGAAAATACATGATCTCCAGATGCTTTTAATTAGCACTTTGTCAACAATGGTAACAATCTAACTACTACTGAGTATAAAGATACCAAAAAGAATCAAATTATCTAGGCCTGTCAGTCTAAATGTAAGGACACCTTTTCTATCCTTGGATTCACTTAAACAGGTGCATAAAGAAACAAACAAAAAAATTATCTAGTGCTAATTCTACTCATCCTAGGCTTAAGCATGATCCTGATTGCTATATAGCTGCCCTTATGGCAAGACCATTTGTGTAAAGGTGTGCAGAGATATCTTTACAAATCATCTTTACAAGAAACTTACTCAATATTTTGTGCAACCTATACAATTACACAAGAGGTTGTACAAAACGTCTGATTAACATATGTTTTGCTTAAAACCTGGCCTAATTGTAAGTTTTAGAAAAAGAAAAAAAAGACTGGGCCAAGGTAGATGAGTTAAAGAGCAAGGATGAAAAACAGACTGGTTATACAACATTCTTAGAATAGGGGCTAGAGAAGCAGCCCACCCCCTAAGAATGTGAGAGATTTTATCACATGCAGCCAACTAGCTGTTGTTAATTCCTAACTTGTACATTAAACATACACCTAAGGGTGGTTCTCTGGAAAGGATACCATTGTGCATAATGAGATAAATATTTCTTATTTACATACAAAAATAGCATAAATAACTTCATGTTATACTTCAAATACACAAATAGGGGCAATATATATTAAATATGTGATGCTCATACTCTGATAATATTGACTGAGGCAATTCTCTACTTCCTCTAACTTTTGATAACAGATGGGGCAGAAAATGGGCGAAGCAGTGAAGAAACTTAATTGGATTCCCTGTTTTAAGAGAACTTTTTCATATGGAACTTTTTCCCTTTTAACATGTTTCCTGTTAAATAAAGGAGAACATCACCTGTCATTTTCCTGTGCAATCAATCATGCACAATCAGACATACACAATCAACTGCAGTACATATTGACCAAAATGTAATGTCTATTAATCCCTCTGCAAAGCAGTCTTATACTATGTTTTCACTGGCAAATATATGATCATACATGGCAGTATTTTATTTTATTTTATTTATTATTATATATGCATGAAGTGGACTCAATTGCATACGTCAGCCAATCCAATGGGTTGCTCGACAAAACAGGAGGCTTATTTAAGGAATTTTTACTAGTAGTGGGGTTCATTCTCCCATTGCCTAGATTGGTTTGGGTGGGACAGGCACCATTGGTATTTCCTTTTCACTCTCTATGCACCTTGGTGGGAAGCAGGCCACTGCCCTACCAGGTAATCGCTTAAAAAGCCGTTCTTTATTAGATATAGGACTCAACATGATCATACATGACCATATAGAATCATACACCCTGTCATACATGGAATTTTCACGTGGGAATACAATGGGCATAGGACATCATATGATGGCTCAAGGGCTCCAAGTGTTAGTTGTCACTAGTGTTATCATTGGTCAAGGCCTAAGATGGATAAAAAATGGATAACATGGTTTCACCATATAGATCAACACCTGACCTTTACATGAGTCATATGATGCATTTAGATAAGATTATTGGCCTGAACAACTTTTGTCAAACCCCAGATATATTCCATACATTTTTATTAAAGACTATTCATTATTGGGTCATAATAAAATTTATATGCAAGGAATGTAAATGCCAACAAGTGATGACTGGATTGGTACAGGTATTCCTGACAGAGTGAAAAGACTCTATTCCAGGAGTTGGGCATTCACACTTGTGGACATTTTCTTAAGCATCAGCCTCACTAGTAATTTTCTTGACATCTCTAGTTGAACTAAATCTACACCTTGTTCACATTTCTTAGGGCCATATTTCAAGCAGACAAAATTGAAAATTTCTTCTGACTTTGTTCTCTCAGATGGACAAAATAAGATGATTTTCTGAAACCCAATGAAATTCAACAGGCCTCAACAAATAGTATCAACTTCATATACAGGAAATTTCTTTCAATCTCGTCAAGCATACCTTCGACATGGTTTCAAACTGAGTTATGAATGACCCTTTAAAATACGAGTTTTCTGCTCTTTACATGAGCTCGGCACCCAACATACGGAGTAACTTCGTACAAAATAGGCTGGTATCAAACCATAGCTACGAGATCCGTAACTTATATTGAATATGCATGCTGTGACCTGGATTATAGGCTACCTACCATTCACCGTTCAATGGAAGGAGAAAATGGAAACTGTCATCATGACGATGCCTCCACGCCAATGCTAGCCCAGGAGAGCTTCAACTGTGGGATGAATGTCCTTCGCAATCTTGTCCGAATAAGCGAAGGTTAGGCCTATTTCTGTTCCTTGCACACCTCCTAAATCGACTTAATGATCTGCGTTAAGATGCCTCAAGAAGATACGAATTATTAGGTACACAGGTGGTACTCGCAAAGAGTAGCCCTAGCCCAAGGATTGACTTCCAAAAGTACCTTCACTGGTTGATGAAACTGGTTAACGCCATCTCAGTCTCACGCTCAACTGTCATGGCCGTCTATGAGATCACGATAGAGGTGCTTGAAGGACCTCTGTGACGACAAATATGCGTAGGAATTCTATTAGAAGCTTCAAAATCTCAGCTATCCTCCGAAATATGCTTGAAATAAATAGAATTTCACATTTTTGAATGCAAGATGCTTAATTTTTAAGGGCGTGCGTTCTTCGGAGGATAAAAAAGGGACGAAACGGGACCAGCAATTTTTCAGTTTCGCATCCGCAATCCGCTGCGCTCGTGGTGCGCCCAATTAGGGGCAACGGCAGAGGTTTAGGTGTTATGATTCGCTTATGAGGAAATGACAGCTTGGATGCCTCCTTTTTTAGTTTTGTTCCTTTCAAATGTGCAAAAATGTAACAAATTACAGCAACCTCGATCTCTGGGTACTACCTAGGACGACGAGCAGTGCTCTTTGTAGTCATCGTTAGCTGTACATACTTGAATGAAAAATGATAGCTGTCACTATGTGGTTCCAAGGTCCACCCGCTTTGTCGCCCCTTCCTCAAGCTACAACATTGTCAATAAGCCTTAAATATAGCCCTCATGTTTTGTATGATCTTTATGATTTATACTGGAAATTACAGGTTTTTGGCATCAGAACTGGTGTACCACAGAGAAATTTTAAATTTTGGAGTTCGGTGGTTACTACTTGGTACATGATGTCCTGTTACATGTGTTCCAAGAAGTTTAAACCCCTCTTGACCAGAGAGCACACCTGCTCAGTATGTCATTTTTCCTTTTGTGGGAAATGTATATCTACAGCTCAATTAGGCACTCCAAAAGAAATGTGTAAGTGTTGCATTGGGAATGCCTCAACAAAGAAAAATAACGGATTGAATAACTGGTCTCCAAAGAATACTCTCCCTGCAGGAAATTCACAAGTGGTCAAAGATAAACAAGGAAAATCAGAGCAAGAAATTGCAGAACGTCTGAGAAGACTGCAAGAGAGCTCATGCCAATTGCCATCTGATGATGAACTACAAATGAGGCTGAGGAAGCTAAAAGATGTAGAATCAACATCCTCAAGCAGCCCTGCATTTCTAGAAGGGAAAAAGAAGACCAGTGAGGAAGAAACTGTTGATTTGTTAAAACAAGTGATGGATGAAGTGAAGCTGGAGGAGAAGTCCCATGATTGTGACAGGAGCATAGAGCGTCGTTTACAGGAACTTAAGAAACATCCTTTACCAGTATCACCAAGACAGCAGAATATCAGTGCAGGTTCTGAATTTGAGAGACCTAATGCTAGTGCAGGTGAAGCTGAAGAAGATGAGGCTCCCCTTCCTTGGTGTGTGTTGTGCAATGAGGATGCTGCTGTAGTTTGTCATGGTTGTGATGGAGATTTGTATTGCAGGAGTTGTTTCAAGGAATTTCATCATCCATCTGACCCTGAGCCACATAAACATTCTCCTTACCTACATGCTGAAAAGAATTAATGGTATATTGAAGTAACATGGCCTGGTCTTATGTTCTCCCAGAGCTCCTGTGTGACCATGTAAAGGATAATATAATTTTTTATGCAACCATTTCCTTTTCTTCCTTGCTTGAATGCCTTGATATTAGTATATGGGCTGATAGCCAGAGGCTCTGATCCTAAATGAGATTCAAGAGAAACACTATAAATGCCCCAAAACATTATAGTATTACTTCCTCTGGAATCTTGCACATGATATTGAGCAACAACAAAAAAAACTAATGCCTCATATTGCTCATGACAGACAATATCTGCTTATACATTTCTCTGAATGTAGAATTGTAATTCTTTTCCCTTCAAGTCTGGTGTTCCTGATAAACAGTATTCCACAGAAAATGGTCCCAGTTCCAAAGCTAAAGGAATTCAGGCTTCTATCACTCCCAGAATATTTAAATTATTTTCAATTTTACCATTTTTGCAGCAGGAGCAGCATATTGAGGATGAATGTAGTTTTGATAACATTTTTTATTATAATAATTTGAAACAAAGATAGAAGTGCATGAGGAAGCCATACCATCGATCATATTTGTGTAATATAATCATTATTAGTGAATTGGGCCAGTTTTAGTTGTGAGGCATTTACATATTACCTTGAATGCATCCCAGTCCATTTGTGTATTGGGTATTAGAGATAAAGATCTAACCAATCTTTCATCCCATCAGCAGGAACATTGTGGGTAATAACAAAGAGCATTTCTGGCCACCAGACCACATCACACACATGCCAAAACCAAACCACACTAAAATTTGAAGGGGTGAAAGGAAAAGTGGTCTATCTGTATAAAACATGACAAAAGTCTAGTTGATTTAGCACTTATATATAGAGCTTTCATTGAAAACGATACTTTTGGGGGATTAAGTGAAATAGGAACTGGCCCATCCATTCATACCACTTCTCCATTTTCTTGCATTGACAGCCACTGGAATATTCACTCTTTCCTTGTGAGGCTTGAGGAGAGCATTATTTGCAGAGACCACCTTTTCTTTCAACCCTTCATTTACCCTCTATACTATCAGGCCTGACCAGAGGGGGGGGGGGGGGGGGGGGGGAGGACATTGGGGACAACATGCCCTGGGCCTCACATATCAGGGGGCCTCTGGAAATTTCTTGGTGGGCCTGTATACAGGGTGACAATAAAGTCTGTAGACACATATTTTTGCACTTTTCTCTGGGTAGTTTGAATAAATTGGATTTATTTCTTTTCTGCAAAAAGAACCTACCTAGAGTGACCAAATTTTTTAAATTCATGTTCAATGTAGCTACCCTTGGCCTTGACAACTTTCCTCAAACGTGTGATGAATGATTCGGCTACAGCTCGCAACACTTCTTGGGGTATTTCTGCCCAAGCTTTCCTCAAAGGAGATGATAAGAGAGGCCGAGTTCCTGTGGGGTTTGGAGCATGCCTTCAGCTCTAGAATGGCCCAAATCAAGAAGTCCATAGGGTTTAAATCTGGTGAACTGGAGGGTCATTCGTCAGGGCTGATAACATCCGGAAAATTGTCTTTGAGCCATTGAATTGTGACTTTGGATGCATGTGAAGGTGCAGAATCCTGGTGGAAAGTCCAAGGTTGATCCCCAAAGGTCTTAGCTGCCCAAGGTTGCACCACAGCTTCCAGAACCTGGCTGCAGTAGTACTCCTTGTTCACCTTAACCCCTGGGGCAACAATGTGGAGGGGAGTTTTGTGCTCGGCAGTTATCCCAGCCCAAATCATGACAGATTTTGGCTTTAGAACATGCTTCCGGAAGCGGCCAGCGTGGTGCTTGTTCCGGAGCCAGAACCGGTCATTTTGGCGATTGTAATGCTGAGCTACAGTGAAGGTCTTCTCGGTAAAGAGAATTTTGTCCCACTCCTTGTGACTGAACCTCTTTAGCGCTTTCGCTTTTTGCAGCCTGGCTTGTTGCTGTGCAGGGGTTAGCAGCTGCACCTTTTGAACCTTGTAAGGCTTCAACTTTAGCCTGTCCTTGGCTATCTTTCGGGCAGACTTGCGGCTAATACCAAGGGTGGAGGCAACAGAACGCATGGAGCGGTTGGGGTTGCGTCTGAGCAGTTGCATTCGTTTCCTGACCTTGGGGACATTGACAGTTGCTGGGCGGCCACTCCTGGGGTAGTCAAGACTTGTACCAAGAACCTTGAAGCGTTTCACTGCCTTGTAGACACTGAACCGTGGCGCACCAAGCAGACGAACAATTTCTGCAACTGACTTTCCAGTGTGGGCGAGGCCGCCGAATGTTATTACGTGTTCTCCGTGTACGTAAAAGGGCCCTATTATATACGTACTGACTCCAATTAGATAAGTACCGGTGAGATTCGGAAGGACTAGGCTGGTCAGCAACAATAACAATGGATATATTGAATATATACCACTCACTCGTATAGTCTACAGGCACCAGGCAGGAGGGAAGTTGATAAGTCAAGGGCGACGGGAATAAATTACAGGTCCCTATACAATCCAGACATACAATACACACCGTTGTACAATGTCACACGATCACATCCACATTCTCACTGTGCACCATCTGGTCTCGCCTCCACCCCCTTGTCCCGGTCCGTGGGAGGTCTCTTGGAGGTGGGAGGTGTCCGGTAGGGGGTGGCTCCTCCTCCACTCCCTGGTGAGGTCCGCCGCTAAGCCCACACCAGTTTTGTGGAGTCCGATGACGGCTTCGCGCTGGCATAGCATCCTGAGGTTTTTGCACTAGAGAAATGAAACTTTAGGATATTGTGCATGACAGCATTGCCTATGAGCACACAAAAAATCACATTTTTTTATTGATATGGCGGGGAGAAAATTCACTGTCTACAGACTTTATTGTCACCCTGTACAGGGTGAGTCAAAAGTCACTGGACGACTTTGAACAGCTATAACTCAGCAAGGAAAGCATTTATTTGCAAACGGTTTTTTGCATATGAAAGAGCGTTCACTTATTGACCAAACAACATGGAAATTTCCATGATATACTAAAAGAAATGGAATGAATCAGCACAAAACGAAAAGCAACATTTTTTTGCATAAAACATATACAGTACAATTCGCCTTTATTTCTGTGATTTTTGCTTCTCCAAGCGGTTGTCTGATAACGCCTGATAAACTTTCTTTGGAGAAGCACGTCGCCGTCATTCGTTTGTTCTCTATCTGTGAAGAAAACCTTTCTGAAGTGATGCGTCGTTTTGCAAAGATGTTTCGAGGTCACACGGGGACGAAATCCACCATCAAAAGCATCAATGATCGCTTTGATGCCACCGGTTCGACTGAAAATTGGCCCCGATCTGGACGCCCTCGCAGTGGCAGATCATTGGAGAATATTGAGCTGGTTGGCAACATCATCGCAAAAACACCAACGCAGTCAACTCGCCGGCTGGGACTCGAAACAGGCTTCAGTCAGTCAACTGTTGCCGTATCCTTCGCAAAGGTTTGCACTTCAAGTCTTATGTCCTACCCTCGTTCAGGAACTCAATGGAGACGATTTCGATCGACGTGCGCAGTTCGCCGAGTGGTGGCAGAAGATCGAGGAGAACCTGGCGTTTCCTGATTCTATTCTCTGGGGCGATGAGGCAATCTTCAAGCTTAATGGCACGGTGAATCGCCACAACTGCTGCTTCTGGTTTCCAACGAATCCTCAAATGACAATGGCCAAGAGCACGAACGCACTCGGGGTGATGGTGTGGGTTGGAATAATTTCCAACCAGATCGTCGGACCATTCATCTGTCAGTGGTGCCAGCTACCTTGAGCTTCTCCAAGGTCCTGTATGGTAAGCGATTGCAAATCGCCACGACCTGGATGATAGCTTCTTCCAGCAAGAAGGCGCTCCTCCCCACTACGCCCCCCCAGTGCGCATATTCCTCAATGATCGCTTTAAAGAAAGGTGGATCGGCCGGAGCGGGCCTGTCGAGTGGCCACCCAGGTTGCCGGACCTGACTCCATTCGATTTCTGGCTGTGGGGTTTCATTAAAGACCAGGTGTATGCCGAAAATTCACGCACTATCAATGAACTGAAGCAACACATCACCGAGAAGATTGCTGGAGTTGACCTCAACATGTGTGCAACAGTCTGTCATTCGGTGACGGTTCGCCTCCGCAGTGGTCGAGCTTGATGGTGCTCAATATCATGGGCAGTAATTGCATTCATTTTTACGCCAAAAAAATGTTGCATTTATGTTAATTAGCTCAAGCTCTTTCATGTGCAAAAAACCGTTTGCAAATTTGGGCTTTCCTCGCCGAGTTTTAGTTGTTCAAAGTCGTCCAGTGACTTTTGACTCACCCTGTACTATAGGTACACAAAGTGAAAGTTCACTGAGGCACTTCGAATGCTCAATGCGACCTGCAGGCTGCATCTTTTCTATGAAAACCATATTTAAGATAGTCTCATGGCTACTTAATTGACAAAGAAATGCTGTAACTCATTAGCTCGAAACACAAACTGGATTTTGCTGAAATCCTTGAGACGGGTATACAAAGGAGATTCAGAAAAACTGAAAAAAAAGCTAATGAATCTGGAACCAGCTGTCCCGTTTGCAGAGTCAAATTTTTATCATTATTTTAATGCAAAAACAGAAGGAAAAAAACTAATAGGGCTGAAGATCATGTGAAACCAGGGTACCATCACATCTACCACTTATCAGAGCTAGTGTCTGACGATTGGTTCCAATAGCAAAATCTGCAGGTGCAATTTTTTAAAATTTGTTTTCAATGTCAACTTCCAACCATAATCAAGTCAATGAAAGGAGGGAAAATACTTTTTGTTGACAGCAATTCAGTCATTTCATTTTCTAGAGGGATCAATGCAATTTCTTTCTCTCAAAAGGAAAAATGCTAGTAAATTGCTCCTAATAACCATATACAACTCAACATGGTTTCTTGGAGCTCAACAGCTTTTTTCAATAATAATAAAAAACTACCACAGTTGGTACCAAGTAATTCAGCTTTTGACCTCCGACACTGATTGAATATTCTGCGTTCAGGTA